CCAGCGCCAGGCCAGCGCCAGTTGCTGAAAAGTGAAAATATAATAAAAAATAGATTTATTTGTGAGGTGTAGGGTACATATTTTTCGTCCATCGCAACGATCTTGGGGAGGGGGTAATTACCCCCATTACCCCCCCCCCCCTTGTATACGCCGGTGGTAGCCGCATAAAAAGAAATCTAATCTAGATGAGTCGGGTAATCGGGACGGCCACTCACATGGTCTTTGACATCTGATTTTGTGATGGCCCCCATCATGTTGCATCTCAGACCGCTATTGATAAATTTTGACATAGATTTGGCAAGTGGTCTACTAATTCAGATACATAGCTCCATTCATATTTCCGTTTAAAAAGCATGGACCAATAACATGTTCACGAATAATCCCCCCACACACATTAATCGACTATCTATGTTGTCGGTCTACCTGCCTAAGAGCCCTCTTGGATTATGGTCGGAGTAATATTGCAAGTTATTTATGGTGGTCAACAAGACTGTTTTTATGAAAGGCATCCTGGTCAGAGAACAAAAGCTTGTCAAAAAAGTCAAAACCTATCCTAATTTAAGAGTGCGACCAAATACAAAATTCGACACGCTTTTCAAAATCTTCTTCGGAGAGTTCTTTATGTAACTAATATGACTATTGATAATTGATAAGCATGGAAACGGTTGTCCTCCAAAATTCGTTGAGCCTGCGAAAGCGAATAATATTGAACAAACGCCAAATTAGGCACTTGACACTTATGCCTTATGTCAAAAAATGTTTTTCGAGCCTCCTACAATTATTTGTTGAGTTGAAATTGCTATTATTGCACTACTTTAGTTCTGTAAATTAGTTTTTGTTGTATTAAGAAAAAATATTGGTTTTTGAATTCCGCATCGAATTATGACAGAAATGTACAGGGGCTCAAATTGAAAATAAAAAAATAAAGTACATACCTACCTCAAAGTTTGACACCGAATTTTGGACATCCTGTATAGGCCAGATCGACCAAACTTGGTCAACAACAAGGCTGACATTACCTTACTCAATAACTCGCTCAATAAGTACCTCGATTTATTTTATTCGAAGAACCATTTGTAATTCATCAATTTTTGAAATCATTGGTGCAAACCAGATGTTTTTAAACTTTTCTGTAGGAATTCGTAGAAGGTATCCAAATATGCAGAACAAAATTTAGGGCGTGTAATCTAAAAACATAGGTACATATTATCATCATGGTGTCATGACTTCACATGCACTTTTTTAGTCGAAAATATTTTCCTAAAATGCGCCCTACGGTGCAGTAGTAACCACTGCGAAATATAAAAATTTCAAATCAAATAATAAATAGGCTACACAAAACCGTATGTGAGATGCAGGGCCCTGTATAACTATTCAGCTCAAGACAGTAAAGACACCTAAAAATACAAATTAAAATGTCGCCTCCGTTTCTCTGTTATGGAACCAAAGAAATATTTACATACATTTGTTCGTTGAAATCGTTGAAATGTGAAGAGAAACAAAATACATTTATATAATGATTGCAATAATATCATATAAGTATACCTGCCATTACAAGCATATAAGGTACTTGTAGTTTGCAGCCTTTTCCATTATAATGTATTTGTGAAATAAAAAAGTTAAAATACTCAAATACTCTCGAAAATTTCCTTTACGAACGATATTAGACCTAATAAACAATTCTCCTTTGTTTAACCACTAAAACAAAGAACTTGGTCAATTACTCAATTACTATTAAAATATAAGGACTAACTATTGGGATAAATCGTCTCTCTTTTCTATTTCTAATAATAATTATTATTAAAAAAAAATGGCAATACAATACCTATCTAAAACAGAAAAAAAAAGAACCGTTGTTTTTCAGCGCCAATGCCTGTCAACAATATGCTTTTTATCTACCTTTAATTGATTAATTTATCGGAGCAGGTTATTTTGTCACAAATTTCTATTAAAAGTGCAATATAGGCTTTGCTGCCAGACGACTGGATTCCTTAATAATGATTTGCCCGCCAAATAATCTAAATTAAAGAAATTGAACTTTTCAAGAACTAAGAATAAGGGACAAAAATTTAGAATTAAGGAATTGGGTAACTCCAGCCTTAAAAGGATAACCCCAACTTAAAAAACACCCTGTATGTTTGAATGAAGACCTGAGTTCCCGTCGAAATTTCGCCATCCGGATATTTAATGCAGTGGCGGATCTAGAGCATCATCCTGGGTTGGTAGAGCTTCTCAACCAGTAACGGCTCGTGGTCTATACTTGAGGGGGTTCACACCCAAAGTAGGGCCAAGTAGGTTAAGCCTACCGCGGGTGCCTCCGGAGGCAGAAATTTTTTTCGGGTGCCACGCCCAAAACGCATTTTGAGCCTCCAAAAAATAATTTGTGTGTTTTTTAATAATTAAATTTTTTTTACGCCTCTCTCTGGGGGGGAGGTAATTACACCCCCTTTACCCCCCCCCCCCCCCCCCCCCGTGGATCCGCCACTGATTCAGTGTCAGTAGAAATCTACAAATTTTGTTTCAACAATTTCTTAATAAAAAAAAAAAACAAAAAAGTCGAAAAACGAATATTGCAGTACTCAAGACAAAATCAAATACGGTCCGGAACAAGGCTGCCATAAATTATTTTTGCCCTATTGTAAGGGATATAAGCACAAGTATAAGCACGTGGTCGAACAATGCAGTAAAAGGAAGAGATGATTTATTGACTTTTACCACAGTGCCTATATCGTTGGATAGACTTTACCTAGACCTGGCAATGGTCAGTGTACGAAACGAGAAGCCGAAAATGTATTAATTAATTCGGTGTACGAAACAAGAATATTTCAGGTAAGTAAAGTATTTTTCACAATAATTGGTATCGAGTTAATGACTGCAATAAAACTACCCATTGTATTCCCATTGTGTTCATGACCGAGCTCTTTCAAGATGTCCGGGTAGTTTAAAGGGGTCAACCATTTATTATGAGAAATACTTGTTTTTTTTTACCTACTTCCATATTTAAGAAAAAAACACCAGGATATTTTATCCAATTTGGAGTAGGTACTAACCCCGGTACTAACCAATTTCTTGCTCAGGTAAAATAATGATTCTATAATAATAGTTACGGTGTATCTTCCCAAATTTACTTGGGACAACAATCAACCTCCAACTTTGAATTTTTTTTTTAACTTCTAAAAATTCTGATGCAAACCTCTATATAGAAATACCTTACTTAATTATTAAAAAGAAAAAATAAAAATCAATTTTTCTCTCTCTTGCAACGTCTTGCTCCTCACTGTTTCAATTATGTTTATAGCCATTAAATATACAAAGCAAACCAAAATGTTTGATTTTCACATCTTGACTATAAATCATTTGATATTGCTATGCTATTTCTCATAACAGATGACGTCAGCATATTCTGCTTCAAATTATTGTTTTAGCCTGCAAGTTTTGTTTTTTTGATTTCAAATTACAAAAAAAGCTATGAATAATACGGATTGATTCAGTAAGACACTATGATGGGAGACTCTTATCGAAAATAATTGTTGAGCACAACACATTCGTTTCAGTATTCTTATATGGGCAAAATTGGTGATCGAAAAAGACAATTTTCCCCAACTTTGCCAGCAAATCCAATGCAGTGCGTCTTTCAAACATCTGCAACCTGGAAATGGCTATTCTTAATGAAAAAACTTTCTGAGTGAGGGATGTTTGTCGACCATCAAATAAGTGGTAAGCCTTGCAAGTGCTGCTAAGTATTGAATTGTCTTTTCGATGTATTCAGATGGAATTTTTAATCATAAAACTGACTAACTGACATCTCCACAGAAAGCGTTATTGTATTTCTTATCAAGAAGGTCCCATAGATCTGTGAAATAGCTATGAAGATTAATACGAATCGCCTAACTGAGCAGGCTTGGTTCCAAAAGGGATACATCACATCGGACCACGTTTTTACAGTGAGAACCCTCATTAAAAAGTCCAATGAATATAATTTGCTATTCGTATTCTTCACTGATTACGAGAAGGTATTTGATGATGTTGAGCCCTGAACATTGGAAAATGTCATGAATGATAGTAAAATAGAATAACCTCACAGAAAACTTAATTTTCCTTACTATCAAACAAGACCAACAATAAACCAATTAGACAAGTTGTGACTGCTGAAGATATCCTCGGTATTTAGCTCGGGTTTTAAACGGCGTATTTGAATTAGCTTGCATCAATTCCCAAATATTTTAAAGTTGTAAGGAAAACGAAGGGAAACTAAGACAAACGAATTGCCGAAAAGTAGGTATATTTCATTCAAAAGAAACTCTTGGACTAAAATTCTATTCGCACTGACGTTTTTTTTTTTTACATGAGAGTCAGTACCAAAAACTAAACGTTTCAGCTGTGCTAGTAAATTTTGAAAAATCTATTTTTATATTGAATACGAGAAACATTTTCCTTCAAAAATCAAAAACGATGCTTGAAAAGGTAAAAACGGAAACGGATCCGAACCTGACTACGTGCTTGTATAGGTGTTCATCAGTTTTTTATCGTATTTTTCCATAAATGTAAACAGTATTGTCACGGATTCCGGGTCCACTAAATGTCACTTTACAAACAGTAAGTAACAACTTTTATTGAACAAATTGAGTCTATAAAAATGTACTAATCACTTATCACTTATTTAAACTGAACACAACAAATCTCGTATTTAAACTGACTACAACAACACTCTTATTTAAAAACTGACTTCATTTTGAGTAAAAGTTTTTACACTGTACAATAAATGAATGCTTACGAAAGCTTATAAGCCTTATAAGCATTATGAATATGGTGCTGGTACTTGCAATATTTTCAATAAAGATGCTTTTGTGGCTGGGTAAGTTGTTTGTTAGGTATTTCATAGTTCAGTTAAGTTTTTAAAGTACCTATTTTAATTTTAAGAAAATTTATGTATTTGGAAAAAGCTTAGTTTTTCCAAATTTGTACAGAAGTTTTCACATAATATTGTATCTTTGTTCTAGGTTCGGCACTCTCAAAAAACAATCGAAAAGCCACTTGATGTATGGGATATCAAGTGCTCACTCTACTTGTATGGTCGGTTTAGGAGACGTCTCGGGAGAAGTATGTAAACATGTTGCCGCTATTTATTTTCTTTGCTGGCTCGTCCCTACACTGTTGATGAAAATTAGGTCTGTACATCCCAACTTGCTACTTGGCCAGACCCCCAATGAAAAAAGTGTAAATCTTGCGATTTAGCGAGATAAATTGGTCCAAGCAATAGAAACCATCCACGTCTTCATCACTCATAGTGCTTTGAATATGAGAAGGGGTGCAATATGTGCCCTCTTGTGAAAGCTTCAAGATTCCGGTATTTGTCCAGCATTTTGCAGAATGATAGAGCTCTTTCCTTCAGAAATAGAACCAACTGATCTTCAGGGTTTGCCATTGGGTCTCATTTCCTTGTACAATCTGAATCTGAGTATATAAAAAACGATCGAGATCTTTTCAAATCAGGAAAATATTCGCCTCAAAGAAGTGTCTCAATAATGAGAAAGTACCTGAAAATTCTAAAGTAAACGAACTATTGACAAAAAACAAAATCGGCCATTTCCAGTTTTTTTTTGGGTTTCCTAAAAACAGAAAACTTCGAAGGAAAATTGGCGATAGTATATAAATAACTATTAAATTCCCTGAAAATTTCCTAATTTGAGCCACACTTTATCTTTCATAATATCTTAAGCGACATCCCAATATGGTGACACAAATTTTGGACACACTTGTACAGGGTGATTCATTAAGAATGGCACTCGGCCATATCTCAAAAACTATTCATCGTAGTCATGTCGGAAAAAAATTATCCCATAAATATGGCCAAGAGGAAATGCTGGAAATATATTTCAGCTTTGTAAAATGACCGTAAGGGGGCGTAACTCAACTGTCAAAGTACAAAAATGGTTTTATTTTTTAAATTTTAAATGGAAACGTATCTCAAAAATGCTAGCAATAGATTTTTGATGAAATTTCACACAATTTTGATTTATGACTTTTTACCATAACTTATCGGATAAGACAGTTATGAGCTGTCAAATATTGCAACTTAAGAACATGAATAACTTCAAAACGACTCAACGAATTGGGTCGATCTTAGGTTCGTTGGAAAGACAAGAGTCCGTTCTTTAATTTTATTGTAAAAAATTCCAACTTCAGTTAGTTGGACTGACTCTATGGGTGGATATTTGAAAACAATTGAATTTTTCTAATTTTTCTTGAAATTTTCAAATGGAACGGTATATTTAAGATATGTTCAATCGATTTTTGAGGATGTTTTACACAGTTTTTCTTTATTAAACCTCCCTACAAACGAATTCCAGAGAGTGTCAAATTTAATTTTATCAAAAATAATCAATATTTATGAAAAAGCCCTCGTAAATAATGACTTTGCTTTTCTGACAGTTGATTGTCATCATTGATGAATGTCAAATAATGAAAAAAGTGCGTTAGGAAATTATAATAGTAACTATATTATGCAATCATGTAAATAATGATAGCCATTAATACACGAGCATGTTGTAGGATACGAAACTTGAAGAAGAAATACATATTTATTTTGAGAATAGTAAACTACTCAAGTGGTGGTGCCATCTATTAATAATTTTGGAAATTAAAATCTAGACGTCATTTTCGCATAAATTCGGCACCCGCGTACTGTGGATTTATTCATTTTTCATTCTGCTCTTTCTGTAAATACAAATGGCGTTTCCGATTGGTAGATCTAGTGCGGAACTAGTGCATTTTTTTTTATTCCTGTCCTTTTCTCTTACAGGTCGATTAAAAGGATGCAAATACACTGAGTGCGCACTGAAATTACCAATCGGAAACGCCATAACAGAGATAATCCAAAACCAGTCTATTATTTTTTTTATAACAATGCTTATCATTGTCCATTTTCAAAATAATTAGATTTTAGTGGCTGCGATTGCTGCATTTCCATTACATTCATGCAGAATCTCAAGGATGTCCTGTGCTTCTCCATTTGGGAAATGCATTTTGACTTTAGGAAATAGCGTTTGAAGTTTCAAAAATGTGTCAGCCTGACATACTTAACTGGTATCTGCTCAATTTACGAGGGCTTTTTCATAAATACTGATTATTATTAATAAAATTAATTTTAACACTTTCTGGAATTCGTTTGTAGGAAGGTATAATAAAGAAACACTATGTAAAACATCCTCAAAAATCGATTTAACATATCTTAAATATACCGTTCCATTTGAAAATTCTAAGAAAAATTGGAAACATTCAATTGTTCTCAAATATTGACGCATAGCGTCAGTCCTACTAACCAGAATTTGAATTTTTCTCAACAAAGTTAAAGAACAGACTCTTGTCTTTCCAACTAACCTAAGATCGACCAGATTTGTTGAGTCGTTTTGAAGCTATCCGCTTTCTTGTGTTGCAATATTTGACAGCTCATAACTATCTTATCCGATAAGTTATGGTAAAAAGTCATGAATCAAAATTGTGTGAAATTTCATCAAAAATCTATCGCTAGCATTTTTGAGATACGTTTCCATTTGAAATTTAAAAAATAAAACCATTTTTGTACTTTGACAGTTGGGTTCCGCCCCCTTTCGGTCATTTTAGAAAGCTGAAATATATTTCCAGCATTTTCTCTTGGCCATATTTATGGGATAATTTTTTTCCGACAAGACTACGATGAATAGATTTTGAGATATGGCCGATGCCATTCTTAATGAATCACCCTGTACACAGTTTAACTAACCGATGTAAAGGACCCCGCACACTTCTTATGGGATTTTGGTTGAACGCGGAATTTAACCAAATTCTGGTATGTTGTATATTTCGACCTCCTGAGTAAAAGTTTTCATGGGTACAAACCAATGACATGTACAAACCGATCCTATGACTAGTTTTGGATATACGGGGTTTTTCTAATACTTCCTCAGGCAACCTGAAAATACTGAATTTTCATGCTTTTTGCGTTTATTTGTGGTAGGTAGCTTTAAAAAATGTTGATTAAGTTTAAACCTTTTACAGAAAGGTGCATGTTTTTAGTTAGGTGCCTATATATGTGAATGTACGAAGGTATTTTGAAAAGTACTTGTTTGGTGAGCCTTTGTGTGTTTTTAAAACAAACAGAAATAGAAGTATGACAAACTATATACTGTATTTTTTCCCAAGATAGATTTTGAGTTGACACTGTCAACTTTGAAACATAAACAATGCCGCTTATTGGTCGCAAGATGCCATTTGCACCAAGGATGATACACACTACTACTACTACAGGATGGCCTATTCTCATAAGGCCTGTGTGTAACAAATCCCCCCCTACACCCCCCCCCCCCCCCCCCCCCCAGGCCAAACAACCAGTTATGACGTAAGCAGCATGGTGTTTCTCGCCGTGATGTAGGCTGTTTAAACAGCTGACGGCTTAGTTATGACGTCGGCAATGGTTGAAAACAGTTGAAAACCCAATATGGCGGCGATTACCAAAAACGAGGCCGATAAGCACTCCTTAGAGTGTGTATTCTCCTTGATTTGCACCTCATGCATTGTAAAACTGATTACAACCTGCAGGGACACCTCATTTTCCGAACAATCAGGGCCAAGCGTTATTGTTTATGTTTCAAAGTTTTCAATGTCAAAATCCACGTTGAGTTTTCATCCTCAAATCCTAACTCGTTTCGACGCTTTACAGCCAATCTACGGACTTCGGCATCTTTCAGTAATAAAACAGTGCGATTTACTCTTACTCTAGTCCTTCATTGCACACGTAGCACATTACCTTTCCCCTTTGCCATTTTCACAAGAAAGGTGACAAAAAAGACAATTCGCTTTATTGATAGGGTCACTGTTTTGGTTTCCATGGTTACCAAGGGAAATATGATATAGATATGGAAAAACAATTTTCATTGCTTTTCTTTCCATGGGTGTTTAGATTTTTCAAACAAATCACCAAGTGTATGTATACGTAATAACTCAACACTTGAACCCTAGGCCAAAGGATCATGAGGCAAAAAGTTTTAAGCACAAGCGTAGCGAGAACTGGAATTCATTGAGATAGAAAGTCACTTTTATCACAAAACGTAGGTACCTGAGTACATACAAGTACACAATTTTTCACACTTTTGAACATTTTTAGTCATTAACTCATTTAGCTTAGTGATAGCCATAGTTTTTGAGCGCCCCTGGTATATAAAGGAAGAGTTACGAACACCTACTAAACATTTTTAGTTAAGGAAAGATGAAATAAACAACTTTTAAAGCAATACATGCAAGTTTCTTTGCTTTATGTAAGTACACTTTATATAGGTACTTAGGTTTCCTAAGGTAGTATTAGAAAACCCCCTGTATATCCGAAACTAGTCATAGGATCGGTTTGTACCCATGAGAACTTTTACTCAGCAGGTCGAAATATACAACATACCAAAATTTGGTTAAATTCCGCGTTCAACCAAAATCCCATAAGAAGTGTGCGGGGTCCTTTCAATTTTTAATTTTTTTTAAATGTATCTACTTGACAATCTAGTAGATATTCATTATATTACCTGAATAATTCTTGTAATTTCGGAAGCGTAAATAAATAAGAGTTCAGTGTTCAGACAAGCTTGGAAGCATTCTGTATTTCCTGAATCTTCAATTGTGTGTCTCGACTGTCTCGAGTAAAGACGATCCGAATTATAGGTAGGTACCAGGTGTCCCACTAAGGTCGGCCAGGTACGATATTATGGAAACCATAGACCTTACGGTTTCGGGATTTTTTTTTTCCTCACTAAATCGGCCAAGAGAAATTGATGGAAATTATTTTCAAGTTTCTAAGATGACCGCTAGGGAGCGCAATCACGATAATATAACTAAAAATTCAAATTTTCTCAAGATATCGCTATATTAAGATACTGTTTCAACAACAGAAATCAAAAGTTTATTAATTTTCGCGCCAGTTTGGTTATTAGGCATTTTTCGTATCTTCACTAATAAGGGTGGGGGAAGCTGGTGAAAAAATAGTTTTAAAAATTGCTGTATCTTCCATACTCCTTATCCAAACTCATTCAATTTGGGTTTATTTGAAAGAGAATTTCATTGTTATTAAGAAAACCACTTCGTTTGGGGTCAATAGTTCCCACCGCGTCTTCTAGAGGGCGCTATTCAACCAAGATCCAGTTTTTTCTAATTTTATTGAAAAATCGAAATGGCATGATATTATTTTTTTATTGCTGTGCTTAAAGAGCAAAAAAATATCTACATTTTGGCGCAAACCGCAATTCAATATCTGCATTCGTTTTCAAGTTACGTAAGATCTATGGTTTCCATAATAGCCTACCTGGTCGACCTTAGTGGGACACCCGGTATATAGGAGACAGATTCAGATCCACCCTTCCGAGCCCACACGCATTTATACTGGAGTTTGGACGGTGGGGCCGCATCATGCAGTCCGACCCCACCGCACTCCGCGGCCACTCATTCAATCTTCATCAGGTATTAATTACATGTAGAAGGTCTGTAAGAACCTACAGAAAATGGAGACAGGTCGCTAAGCGTTTTTAATGTTGTTTCATCTAGAAGATAAACTTTGAAGATACCATCCACCAAAAACCAGATTTTTTTGTTATAATATACAGGGTCTACCATTTAAAACGAAACAGGCTAAATATCTGATGCCACTTTTATTTTCATTTTAAATTGCTTGTACACGTAATTTGATTGTGTGTGTATTCGAAACATTTTCAGCACTAACTTTGCCCTTTAGGGGGGGCGGGACCAACCCTTACCATTCCAAATGGAACAGGGGGTCGAGTGATATCTGTTTTAGAAGACCGTTCAATTTTCTTTCAGATGACATCAAATGAAAGAGAATTGAATGCTCCTTTAGAAGAGGTATCACTCGACCCCTTGTTCCATTTAAAATACTGAGGATTGGTCCCACCCCGCCTAGAGGGTTGAAGTTGAAGTGCTAAAAATGGTTGCAGAAAACTTCCCCCTTTAAAAATCAAATTACGTGTACGAGCGATTTTTGAAAAAATAAACGTGGCTTCAGATATTTCGCCTGTTTCGTTTTAAATGGAATACCCTGTATAATATAAATACGAGTTTTTTTTCTAGCACTACCTAATTCATTCCCTTCAGAAATGTCTCCACGACTTCCTCATACTACAATGCTACTACTAAAATCACAAAATCGATGGAAAAACAAAGCCCAAACTACATCACCCAGACCACTTTAAAATGGAATTAAAAGTCCATCAACTATCAGCTTAACAATGAAGCGATAATATGTGGACGACACACCTAATTGATTATCATTATCGCTTTAAAGACGATTCGAGATATTGTGACGGACAGATGAAAGACAAACGTGAGAGACAAAATGTTGAAGCATATCACAAACGGAGGTAGGAATTAATTTTTGGCAATAATAAAAAAATATAGATTTCATATTACATATTTTTATATTAATTCCAGATATCGCAAACCGAGGCTCCCGTCCCGATAGTTCTATAATAATGGAACCTAGAGACACCCAGCCCCATAGGTTTCGTTCTCCAAATGCGAATAGTTCTAAAATATCAACACAGCAGTTTCCGCTCAATGCTTCTCAACTGTCGCAACTTCAAAGCTGCACACCAAATCTGGACAACTCCAAGCACTCCATTTATAGTAACGCAGCTGTCTTTTCCCCCGGAAATAAAATCCTCAATGGAGACGTTAATATTTCTAGGATCAGAGACAAAAATTCCGCCAACAAGCTCACAACAAAAACAAAGGAACTTGGCGTTAAAGAAATGTTAGTCAGTTTAGGATTATTGTGTTTAGTTAGTCTTCTTTTAGCCTTGTTATCGTTAATTTTTCTTCTCAAAATATCACCGGTTACAGCAAATGATATAAGAGAACTCTTACGTGCAGAACAACTCACGATAATAACGGCAGAAGAGTATGTGGTAGTGTACGAAGTTACTTTAGCATTATGTGCTTTAACATTGTCTTTAAATTTGTGCTGTCTTCTGGTGTGCGCCATACAGTTCCTGTTCGCAGTTAAACTTGTTAAAAGTCCTCATGGTGGAAATGACAGGTAAGCACTATACTTAGGTATACAAATTAGCTGTAGTAGTTTTTTTTCCAAATTGACCACTTAGAAATGAACAAATGGGATCTGGGATTCTCAAAATTTCAAATGGCGCTAGAACTCATTTAAAGTTCTTTTAGCTTTTATTTCAACATTTTATTTTAAGTAGGTAAGGTAAATGACCCAAATTCAGACCCCTTAAGCATACTATGTTGTCTTATCAGGCCGAAAAGTGCTAAAATCACTCTTCGTAGCTACCTACTTTAGTTTGTTTCTGAAAAAGTTTGCACCTCCCAAATTTATTTTCATGACAACATTCAGCCAAACATAAGAAAACAATACAGAAATAATGATTTCACCTTTTTATGCATGAGAGAGAGCCCAGGAAAAAATAAAAACAATTTTGTAAAATTTTTGTTTTTTCCGGATATCTCCGTGTGTTCATTAGTTCAGTTTTGTTCAATAGCAGCATCAAGCCTCTGAAGCGTAGTTCGAAATTAATTATTTTGGTCAAGTGTATTACATCATTGATTTTTTATTTTTTCACTCTATTTTATGGTATAAAAATCCAATATGGCGGCTATAAGAAATAATGAAGTTGATGATGGTTTCAGAAAACCGAAACGTGCTAAAAAAATCTAATCGCACATGCGTATTCTGCACATAGAGGTGCTTTCAAAGTGTTTTTACAGATTTGAGAAATTTTCAAAACTAAAAGATTTAGAGCTTATTTTCAAAAAAACAACTTTTCAGTTTTTTCTAAATATCTCAAAAATGTGAATAGCTAGACTCAATCTGCAAACGCTATCAAACGTCTAACATAATTGTCTAAAACTTCCCCCATTCAACCTCCCTCGTATCTGTTATAGTTTCCTATATCCTAATACATTCTCCACCAATTTGGGATACGGGATACACTGATATTAGACATATCTAAAAAAGTTAACAAAACCGGTCCCATTTAATTGACAGTTATCGATTTCAATAAAATACTTTTTTTTCAATACAGATCGTCGAAGTTTTGGTAACTTATGGTTTTATCGGCTCCAACCTGCTTCAACAGCAAAGCAAGAGCTCCCCGAGTATTCTTTGTAATTATTTTTTGGAAAATCTGTTTTTTAACACGCTTATATTAGCTTCACCTGTATGTATGTATGTATGTATGTATGTATGTATGTATGTATGTATGTTTGTATGTATGTATGTTTGTATGTATGTATGTTTGTAAGTAACATTGAAAATGTTTATCGCACGGGCACATAGGGATGCGTGCGAACTTTTGGACCATTGGGAAGTGTATGAACAAGAACCTGGAACAAGCCAAGTGAGCTGGAACAAGTCTGGATAAATCTGGATAAAGCCTGGAAAAGTCTGGAAAATGTCTGGAAATCTCTGGAAACGTCTGGAAAGAGCCTGCAAATTTCTGGAAAGGGTCGGAACAATTCAGCCAAAGTCCCAAAAGACCTGGGGATCTTTTTCCAGAATCCAGATCAGCCTGTACAAGTCTGGATAAGATCTGGATAAGTCTGTATATTGTCTGTAAAAGTCTGGAAATCTCTGGAAACGTCTGGAAAAGACTTGGAAATTTCTTGAAAGGGTCGGAAAAATTCTGGAAAAGGTCCCAATAGACCTGGGGATCATTTTCTAGAATCCGGATCAGTCTGAAAAAGTCTGGATAAATCTGGATGAAGTCTGGAAAACTCTGGAAAGCTCTGGATAATGTCTGGAAAAGTCTGGAAACGTCTGGAAAAGACTTGTAAATTTCTGGAAAGGGTCGGAAAAATTCTGGAAAAGGTCCCAATAGACCTGGGGATCATTTTCTAGAATCCGGATCAGTCTGAAAAAGTCTGGATAAATCTGGATGAAGTCTGGAAAAGTCTGGAAAGCTCTGGATAAGTCTGGATACTGTCTGGAAAAGTCTGGAAAAGTCTGGAAACATCTGGAAACGACTTGGAAATTTCTGGAAAGGGTCGGAAAAATTCTGGAAAAGGTCCCAATAGACCTGGGGATTATTTTCTAGAATCCGGATCAGTCTGAAAAAGTCTGGATAAAGTCTGGATAAATCTGGATGAAGTCTGGAAAACTCTGGAAAAGGCCTGGAAACTTCTTGAAAGGATCGGAAAAATTCTGGAAAAGGTCCCAAAAGACCTGGGGATCATTTTCTAGAATTCGGAGCAGTCTGTACCAGTCTGGATAAGGTCTGGATAAATCTGGATGAATTCTGTAAAACTCTGGATAAGTCTGGATATTGTCTGGAAGAGTCTGGAAATCTCTTGAAAATTCTGGAAAAGGCCTGGAAACTTCTTGAAAGGGTCAGAAAAATTCTGGAAAAGGTCCAAAAAGACCTAGGGATCATTTTCCAGAATCCGGATCAGTCTGTACAAGTCTGGATTAATCTGGATGAAATCTGGAAGACTCTGGAAAGCTCTGAATAAGTCTGGATAATGTCTGCAAAAGTCTGGAAATCTCTGGGGCGAATTCAGGAATGACACACTCAGTGTGAGTGTGATACCGGTGCGGTGTGACGCACTAGCCGTTGATAAAGATAAATGGTGCAAAATATAAACAAAACACAAATAAGAATTAAAGTTTTGTCTTCAAAATAAAAAAAATGAACAACAAAATAATACATCGAACTAAAAAGTGAAAAATAAATATAGTTTAAAAAAACTAAAAAACACGCTTTTATAGTAAATTGAACTAAAAAGTGAAAAATAATTTTTAATATAAACAGAAAATATTAATGAACAAAAAATATTAGAATTATTGTGAAAAAAGCGTGGGGTGCTCAATGTACGAGAAATGTGGAACAAAGCACCCCACGCTTTTTTCACAATAATTCTAATATTTTTTGTTCATTAATATTTTCTGTTTATATTAAAAATTATTAATCCTACGGTACACATAAATGTTTCACAATGCATTTATTATACCTAGTTAGTTTATTGGCGTGCCTACATAACAAAAAAAAATGTACGAAATCTTGATAAGACTGCATGCAGATTATAATTGTTATAAAGTTTGGGTCATTAAAAAAATTTACTATACTATACGTTCTAGGACTTTCCTTTTTACTCCAAAAAACGGGGCGTCCTCCGCGCAATGCAAGGTGAATTTCTACTATAGCAACGTTGTCGGTTATCGTTGATGTATTCTGGTATTCGCTTGAAAGTAGCCCGGGATCGGTCGCTACCCCTTCCTATAAGCACATCTGTAAGCAAATCTATAAATTTCTATGGGCCTCTAGACACTGCAAAACGCATCGATTGCCAAACACCCCATAAGAAATATTTACAATCCTGTAAGATATTCTCTAATCTACAGGAAGTGCAGAATTGCAAATTGTCTATAGACCGCTATAAGGCTTATAGAAATTTATAGATTTGCTTACAGATGTGCACAGAATCGACCCATTATGGGTCGATTGTCGTTAGTGTGAAGTTATCCATAAAATCTCAGCCATAAAACTATCGAATCGCGGTTAGGCCTACTTTTTAATATACCGGCCGGATTCTCATAGGTATATTCTGGCGGCTGTTTGTGCAATATTAGAGATAGCTATGAATGTTAGCTACTACTACTAGCGATCCACAAAAATTAATTTTGTGCCTTCTGGGTGTCTCAAAAAAAAAAAAAACCCTAAAAAAGTCGTAATTTTTGTCAATTTTCGCTTGTAGCTTCTACACGGTTGCTTGTGCCGCTTTGAAAATAGCTATACATTATAGCTACTACTCCTAGCAATCCATAAAAATTAATTTTGTGTAATGCCCCGCCGTCTGAGTGTCTCAAAAAAAATAAAAACGCTAAAAAAGTAGTGATTTTTGTCAATTTTCGCTTGTAGCTTCCACACGGTTGCTTGTGCCGCTTTGAAAATAGCTATACATTATAGCTACTACTCTTAGCAATCCATAAAAATTAATTTCGTGTAATGCCCCGCCGTCTGAGTGTCTCAAAAAAAGCGAAAACCCTAAAAAAGTCATGATTTTTGTCAATTTTCGCTTGTAGCTTCTACACGGTTGCTTGTGCCGCTTCGAAAACAGCTACACATGTTAGCTACCACTCCTAGAAATCAAGAAAAATTAGTTTTGTGTAATGCCCCGCCGTCTGAGTGTCTCAAAAAAATTAAAAACCCTGAAAAAGTCGTGAATTTTGTTAATTTTCGATTGTAGTCTCTACACTCAGACGGCGGGGCATTACACAAATAGTTATTTTTGTCACAAGTACCTAAAATGAAGTTTTTCAGGACGAATCATCGCTGTTTAGGAATAGCAAATGAGTCCTGAAAAACTTCGTTAGGTACGTGTGAAAAACACTATTTTTTGTCATACGCTTTTTAGAATTTTTCAGAACATCCTTAATTTTTGAAATCATAAAGGTGCCATCCAGAAAGAAAGCAAAAAATTCTAAAAAGAAGCATTTTTGACTTGAATGAGTCCGTAAAATAGCTGTTTTTGGGAGCGTATGACAAAAAATAAATTTTTATTGATTGCTAGGAGTAGTAGCTGTAATGTATAGCTATTTTCAAAGCGACACAAGCAACCGTGTAGAAGCTACAAGCGAAAATTGACAAAAATCACTACTTTTTTAGGGTTTTTATTTTTTTTGAGACACTCAGACGGCGGGGCATTACACAAAATTAATTTTTATGGATTGCTAAGAGTAGTAGCTATAATGTATAGCTATTTTCAAAGCGGCACAAGCAACCGTATAGAGGCTACGATCGAAAATTGACAAAAATCACGACTTTTTTAGGGTTTTTATTTTTTTTTGAGAACACTCAGACGGCGGGGCATGGATTGCTAGGAGTAGTAGCTATAATGTATAGCTATTTTCAAAGCGGCACACGCAATCGTGTAGAAGCTACAAGCGAAAATTGACAAAAATCACGACTTTTTTGGGGTTTTTATTTTTTTTGAGACACTCAGACGGTGGGGCATTACACAAAATTAATTTTTATGGATTGCTAAGAGTAGTAGCTATAATGTATAGCTATTTTCAAAGCGGCA